TTCGCTGGCTGTGGCGAGAGACTGGCTGATGGCCGGCTGCAGCGACACAAGAATATATGTGTAGCAGCTCGGGCACTAGTAATGCCCCCACATAGTGTTGCAGGGTCACAAAATGTGGTGGTCTCACTAGATGCCAGCCACACCTTTCTTCTCTCCGGTGCTGCGAACTCCACCGCGAGGATATGGACATTGGGCCCGTGGCAGAGCACGCGCGTGCTGGGAGGCCACGCCCATCGGGTGAAGGCCCTGGCGCTGACAAAGGACCGCTTGTTTTCTGCATCTGCTGATCATACCATCCACATATGCGAGGGCTTAACACGTGGAGCTGCAGGTCGTTACTTCTGGGCCACACGGAATCTGTGACGTCGCTGGACGCCAACGACAGCTTCTCGTTCTCCGCCTCCTGTGACACGACTCTTAGAATGTGGAGGCTGGACGATGGGAGGTGCGAGCGAGTGCTTTCAAAGCACACAGACCAGGTGTATTCGCTGGCGGTCAGCGGGGATTATCTGATTTCAGGATCCTGGAAGGTCATTCACGTCTGGAGCCTTGCCAGTGGGCGATTCTCTGTAAGGAGACTGAGTGGCCACGCCGATTGGATTTGGTTGTTGGCAGTCTGCGGCCAATTCCAGTTTTCGGGATCGGACGACGCGACTGTCCGGGTGTAGAGGCTCGGCACTTGGAAATGCGTGCAGGTCCTCTCAGGCCACAACCGGAGCGTAGAGGCTTTGGCGGTGACGACCAAGGGCGTGTTCTCCGGGTCCGGTGACAACACAGTTCGATTGTGGGGAACTGCGGAATGAGCATGCCATGGGATGCCATCGGCAATTTGACAACTCCATTTATTTTTAACCATCTGGTTCAGCATTGCCGTGTTTTCGCTGCACTTATAGACACAATGTACACAAGTTTCAGGGCCACGATACAACGGAACTGTAAGCATTGTCTGAGGAAGCCGTCTTCTCTCGATCTCGGCATCTGTAGCTGTTGCCAACCACCAATATCGAATTACGGATCTCTTCTCAACTCCCAGCTTTAAATCGGCTCCTCTACGCCGTTTGGAGCCAGTGCACAGCGCAAAATGACAGTTTTTGAAATATGCAGCGACGGCGGTCCATATTGCGGGATTAGCCAGCGCAGGCTTGCCTTCTGTATTCGGGCGGCTCTGTATTCACGTGGGATTGTTCGTGCGCCAAGGCGGCTTTATTTGCGTTAAATTCCATGATAATAGTAATCCGGGGCGATGAGACCTACTATGGCGGCTTCGCAGAGGGGGTGTTTGAATAAAGCAGAAAAGGCGCGAATGCACCACCATGCAATTTCAAATATGCATGACGACATCGACGCCCTCGTGGTCGACCGTTTACATCTAGGGAATGGGATACCGGTTCGAGGAACCTACGAGCAGCCAGCATTGTGCATCCAACACGGCACGAATGGCCGCCTCTTAGCGCGCGAGTACACATAAACACTTGACCTCAAATATGGCGACGCAGGTGTAAAGACTGCAAGTGCGAATAGGCTCTGTTCTGAACTCACTCCCAAGTCGAATCTCGACTCGAAATACACCCCTTCAGCGTGGCGGCGTCAAAGGCCCCTTCTGTGCGTCCGTTATCAACAAATAGGACGCGCACCACTGCTTTGATTGATGCGGTGCACCATCTACCGTGCCAGCCAAGCTATGCAACTAGTCTGCAGTACCGCATACCCGGCCCCAGGTAGCCAATGCAGAGTATGCTTGCCAGTGATAGCCCGCACAAAGTCGCATTGATTCTAATATGGTGTTTGGCGCGTGTTTTAACTTTCTGGCGAGGAAGATGCCATCGCTTTGCGCTCGTTCCTTCCTTTGTGCAATGGTGCAGCGATGTAATAAAACTGAAACAAAAGTCCTAATCTCCGTTCGCTATTAAAGTAGCACATGGCATGTCCTACATGCCAGTGTACTGCACCTAGCACGAGCTTTTACTCACGTTGTGTGGATGCATCCCTGGTGTTGCGTCGACGAAATCGTGTCGACGGGGTTCAAACTCACGACCTCCGGGGCATGTCTTTCTAGAGTATGGAGTGGACTAATACTTTGACTCCAAAACCTGGGCAAGGGTATTCCAGGCGTGTCTCATGTTTATGTCCCTCCTGTCGATTGTTCTACCCCCATGCCAGGTCCCACTGACTTGGGGTCGTATCACGTGGCATTTGCCACGAGTCCTAAAAGAGTGTTCACGCCCAGGCAGGACTCCATGGGTTTGAGTGGTTTGGGCTGGTCATGGCCTTGCTCTTGCTTGCTTGAACCCACTGCCAAGTTGCTACGACTCATTGCGATCTTTTCAGCATTGCAAGTTTGAGCCACACCACGGCAAAGTAATCTTTCCCAATGATAGTCAATCTGGCTCATGCCACATGGACTAGCCTTACACCAGGTTATGTTTTGGTAAAGCATGATTGTAACAATCAGTTTTTACGGCGTAAAAAACAAACCTGTGTTTTACAACCCAGTAACCGAATAATACTCTTTGACACAGGATGTAGCCAAAAATTTTATGGTCATGCTAGTTTAACCGTAAGAGGGTGGTATACCAAAGTTGTGCATACACACCACAACAAAAACACAAACAGGGACTCCAAAACAAACAACCGTGCTGAGGCCTTTACATCACTGCTACTCCCATCTGCGCAGAAATCTCGTGACGTCCACCGCCACCATGCAACAACCTTCCAAGTTAAGATGTGTTAGGAATTTCAAATTTGCCAAAGACATTATTCCGTCATTTGTGATCTGATGGCATTGCTTCAATTCCAAGGAGGAAATGGCTGTCAAGTTCCCGACACCCCATATCTTTAATTGCGTCGTGAAGTCGCAAAATATAATTTTGTCAAGGATGTCAGGGTTTCCATTGTCTTCAAGCCAGAATCGGCAATCAACCTGCGCATGTCCAGATCCAATTCTGTGAGGTGCATGACCCTTTGCGACCATGTTATTCCGTCCACGCTAACTATTGTTGAGCGCAGGGCCAGCCTGCTCAGTTTTGTCAAGATTTCCGAGCTGTCAACGCCATTGTCTATCAATTTCACAATAAAGCAACTCAAAGTTATCAGATTGTTGGGCGCAGACAGCCATTTGATGGTGTTGTCATTGACACTTCTTATGGCAACAAAAATCAAGTCCACAAGGCTTGTCAGGCTTCCTATTGACTTGATCCCACTGATGGAGGCATCTGGACACATATAAAACCAAGGCTTGTCATTTTGCGCGAAGTCCGGTCAACAAACTTCAATCTGTCAAATCATCACCATCCACCAAACTGAGGCAGGAGATAGCGGCCAGGCTCTGTAGCGGCTGGAGATCTCCATCTGACTAGAACATCAGATCCAGGTTTGCGAAAATAGTCAAATATTGTAGGTGTTCCACACCTCTGTCAGAGATGTAATCACAAGTAAGTTGTAAAGCCACAAGAGTTGTCAATGTCTTCAACATCCTTGAACTGCCTTCGGAAAATGGCCACCAAGGAATGACAAGTCTTGTTAAGCCTGCCAAGCGTTCGATACCAGCAATGTTCATACCGTTGCGGTTGCATTTTGTTAAAGTCGCCGTGTACTCCTCCCACGTGACCGGTGACATTCCCCGGCCCGGGAACATACGCTTCGGTGTGGCGCGTGCCACCTTTGCGCCTGTGCCCAAGCCATCGCCTCTTGACTCGCCAGCAAGGGGGCTATCGCCCGGAAACACAGACGTTCCCACAGGCATAAGTAGTGGCAAGCGCCGCCACAGCTGCGGGTCGCCAGACTGCCGCCCCTGCAGGGCGAGACTGCACAATCTCGCGCGACACACCACAGACCAGCGATCGTGGCCAAGCTTGCCCTCCATGTGCAAAATGCGGCGCCTAACGCAAGTTTAGCTCTTCGCCATGAAAGGAGCAGGCAGTGGGAAAAGGATAGCCAAGGCGCACCGAAAGATTGGCAAGAAAGATATTGGGGCAAGGATAGCGCCGATCAACAGGGAAAATAGTCGATCGACAGAACAAAGCTTCCACGACATATACACCGTAAAGCGCTGAAGCTTGCAGCCAGAATAACACAGGCCACAAGGCTTGGGAAAGCTTCTTCCATAGACAAAATATATGGGCGATCTGCTTGCCAGAAAACAACATCCAAGATCTGTTAATTTTGGTGGGAATGGCGCAAGGCGAAGTCCAGTCGCCAACCCGGTTACAGGGGTGCATCGCAGCGGAGGTGGCTTTCCCGCGCGCTTCGGGTTGGGAGACGGCCAGGGCTCCGCGAAAGGGTTCATCTACTTGGTGCAGAGGCCTACGAAACGAGGGCACGCGCACAGGCATTCTGTGATAGAATTACTTTCCGGCAATTGGTTGTTAACTTTGTTGACTCTTCACGCGACCGTCTCTTTCTTTGTAAGTGCCCCTCTTCGCTGCCAGTCTACGGCATAGCGCCCCCTGTGTGGTGCTGGGTGGCCACCGTGCAGGACGAGGCCTTGTGAATCAAGGCCCAGTCGGCCGAGTCCGCAATTGAACCGGGGTCCTTGGCGCCCTGTTATGCCATCTCGCCCTGCAGGGGCGGCAGTCAGGCGACCCGCAGCTGTGGCGGCGCTTGTCGCTACTTATGCCTGTGGAAACGTCTGTGCTTCTGGGCGATAGCCCCCTTGCTGTCGCAAGTCAAGGCGCGACGACTTGGGCATCGGCGCAGGGCCGCGTGGGTGGTGCGCACCACACCGAAGCGTATGTTGCCGGCCTGGGGAATGTTACCGGTCACGTGGGAGGAGTACACGGCGACTTTAACGAAACGCGTTGCGGTTGGGCATGGGGTTCAGGCAGTGTACCGTATTATACCGTATGTACAGTGTATCCGTCTCCGCCTCCGTCGCGCCTCCACCCCATCTCCGCCTCATCCCCGTAGTCCTTGTCTGTGTCCGGACACAGAACCACCACTGTGGCCCGTCAGTCGGTAGAACAAGATCGTCGCCGCCCCAACGCCTGCCCCCTCCCCCCAACATGCCAGCCACCGCGCTCGCCTCGTCGACCTTCGCTCTCTCAGGTGCGCCGCCGTCGCCAGCGCGTGGCGATCCCAATTTCCACGATCGCGGATCGCCGATCGCGAAAATCTGTCGGCCGTTTTTGCGCATCAAATTGACACCTAGTGCCGCGTCGGGGCGAGTAGCCTGCTTGATCCGGCAGCATTGCCAACGACTTCCATTTTTCTTTTCTTCCCTCGCGTTTGCTGGCCCGATGGGAGCTCATCGCGGTGGCTGCCGACTCGAGATGTGGTGGTGATCGTCGGGTGGGACGGGGCCGTCGGTTCGCTCAACAAGTTTGTTGATGTGTTGATTTGTTGATTGTTGTTTATTGTTTGTTGGCTTTCTTCTTTGAAGAAGAAGCATAAAATCGAAAGCTTGCAAGGCGGGGTCGCCGTGCATTTTCGACGTTTGGCCACCGACAGTTCTGACCCCGTGGGTCCCTGTTGCAGGATCGCGCCCGAGGGCGGGACTCCGGCACGTGCGCGGGCGTGAGGTGGGTTGCTAGGTGACGAAATGCGCAAATTTGTTTTCGTATTTGGGGTGGGGCAAGCTTTGTTATCCTCCAAGACAAACGGGTCATGCAAAGGGCACCCCCTCCTAAACAAGTGTGCAGGAGACTCTCTTTCTGCGCTGTGAGAGGATAATGTAGAGTCTGTGGTGCAACAAGAAGAGTGCGCAACACAGGCACCACGAAGAGCCAGAAAGCGGGGGCTTGGGGCAGACGGAAGTGGGCTGCCGCGGTGTCGCGCTCTTGGGCGTGCGCCCTTGGCCCCCGCCCCTTTCGCAGAGAGGCAGGGAGTGGTCGCTCGGCCACGGGCAGGATGTCCGTCGCCGTTGCAAGGTGTTGGGGCGCTCTTGGGCATGCGCCCTTGGTGACCACTCCTTTTAAGGAACGCCAGGGAGGCATCGCCCGGCCACTGGCTGGATGTCTGTCAATATCACCGCTGCGAGGTGTTGGGGGGCAGGGCGGGATGAAATGATGTCTGGTTTGTCGGCGATTACCCCCACTGTGTGATGCGTGGGCTACGAGGGTGGCTGAGGAATGGCCTGTGGGGCTGGGCTTGGGAGGCCTGAATCGCCTGCGGGGGTGTTGATTGGCCGGTTTGATGGCCATGCTCACAGGGAATGGGCGATGGCCAGGATTGCCTGGGAGATGGCCTGGGAGGGGCACTGGGAGCCGTGGTTTGAGCGCTGTGTGGCGATTTGTGTGCGTGTGTGTCCGGATCGTCTGAAGGAGAGGGTGATGGCTGACTGGAAAATGGGAAGGTTCGTTGTGGCACCTGTGCAGCATGTGTAGTGATCAGGTGGCCTTGAGCACATTTTCAGTGGATCTCAAGCCAGTCAAGGTTTGGTCCATCATGCACTTCTGATCGGCTCGCTTGCTCTGCTGCTCAATCACCTGACCCATCTACAGGGGCAGCCCTCTGCAAACGTTCTTCTGCATTGTCCTTTCATTTGGTGCCTCCTCCACCACACCCATGGATTTCTGAATCTCGCTTTCCAGATAGGAAGGGTGTTGCCGCTGTGTTAGGATGAGGTGCCATTTGCACAGACCCACTACAAAATGGAGCACTCATTGTGTGCGCCATGCCCAAAAGTGTCTTCCTTTGGAGGCAGATGATCTTTATGATGCGCTTCAAATGGATATGGGGTTGGCCTCTCAGGGTTCCTCAAATACGGCGGTGTGGTGGCTATTTGTTTGGCTGAATCTCATTTAGTATATCGGTCCTTTGACTGTAATACTCAATCTGTCTGTCTGTAGTCGATGGAGACATGGGCATATCCAGCAAATCAATTGTGACATTGCTGTTTTCAATCATTGCCTCAGGTATTTTTTCCTTGTGATGCATCCCATCTCTGTTGGTTTGAGTTGGAGGTCCCTGGCCAGCAACAGGCATATAGTGTTTAGGACGACTTGCTGCTTGTATAGCAAAGGTGTGCTGGGCATTGCACTGAAGCTCCAGGAATCATTGTGGGACAAAGTGATGTTTGTCCCACAGTAGGCACCTCCTGAGCCGTAGTATGCCAAGAGAGCTTGCAGGTGCATGGGGAGGGTGCTTTAAACAAAATGAACAAATGTGATCAATGCTGCACTACGCCATGACCATTCCTGCCAACACCATTATGGGCGAGTGCATGACTGGATGAGTAGGCACAGAATGAAAGGCGCGTGTGCCGAACTCTGACAAGCTCATGTTTCAGCATATTAGCAGCATAAGCAACAGCACTTTCTGCCCAGTACTTTGCTGTCTTACAAACTTGTCCCCTGCTCCAGGCTCTCCGTGCATCCCCCGCCACAGGGCCTTCCCGCAGTGCCCCAACCTCTGAGGCAGACCCCTCCCGCAGGTCAGCCCTGCTGTCAGGTGCCGTGGTGGCTGGGTCTGCATGGATCGGACGCCCGGGAATTGTGGCAGCTGCTGACTGCGAATTCCAGTCGTCACCAAGTGGCCTGGAGTTCTGTGACCTCAAGGAGGGATCAGGCCCTGAACCCACCAAGGGTGCCAAGATCAAGTGGGTAGACACAAGGGGCAGGGGCCCCCTGGCCCATTGTTCCTTTTTCCCTTTCTCTCGGATACTGTGCGTTGAGATACAGTTCTGTGTGCCTATGTGCACTGCACTGATGGGAAATTGTCACGGAAGCGTGTTCAGAGTATTGTGTGCTTCTCCAGTGTGCAGGTCAGCCACATGCTCCCAGCCTGGCTTGGGATGCCCAATTTATTTTCTATCCCAACCATCAGTGTACCTGCATTCCCCTCTCATCACAAAACGCCCTTCTGGGCACGAGAATTACATTTTGGCCTGGTGGCCATTTGCCTTAGTGTGCATCGCAGTCTCTAGACAGCCCCAGGAACTCCCACAGCCAGAAAAATGCCAACTCTGTTACCACCAGTTCCGATGGCATGTCTATCTTGGATGTCTTGCCACCTGTCTACAAGCAATTGTGCAAAGTGGCATTCAATGTCCCTATACAGATATTGTCATGCAAGTCTTGCATAGCCTTGGCATACACAGTGCCTGAAAGGGCGTTTGAAGAACTGTCAGGTGGCCTACCTGAATGTCCACCAATAAGTCCAATCACAAGTCGCACTAAATCTCTACTGCAATATCGGTAAGGTGTTCACAGAGCTGTCCAAACCTTACTGGGCATCAAACATGTACCAGACTGTGCTGAGGACATGCCTTTCAGAATGCATGCAAGAATGTCCATTGGGCTGTCTGTCAAGGTCCATGGTACTGTGCATTTTACAGCTCGAGATCGAACCCCGCTCTGCTGAAGGGCTTCATTGCAGTCTCTCCAACTGGTCTTTCACTCTATGCCAAAACTGTACCACCTTTGGTGGCTGGACATGTTTCACACGGTACAGTTGTTACCCTTGCCTTGATCAACAGAAGAAGCGAAATATATCAAAAGGGCATTGGAAGAACAGTGAAGAGTGAATTGTATTGACTGCCCTGTTTTGGCAGGGCCCACTACACTGGCCGCCTGGACAGCAATGGCAAGGTCTTCGACTCCAGCTACGACCGGGGTTCGCCGCTGGCCTTCCAGGTGGGCATGTCCGATAATGACATGGAACAGCAAAATCGATCAGTAGTGTCAATGAACTGTATTTGGTTATCGATACTGAGAAACAAGGCGTATGAAATATCATGACGCACAAACGTACCAACAGAGGTCGCAATAACAATCATGATAGTAGTAACAGTACAAAGTCGTAATCGTAATACTCGCAGTTGCAAGAGTAAGCAATATTATGTAATAGAGCCAGATGGGATCAACGGAGTAAATCAATGTGTGAAAATAGCCGTGCGAAGGACAGCAAGAACGTAAAAATAGTGACACCAATTGCAGCACAGCAGCAGCGACAACCACAGGAACTGCGAGTGAGCGCTGTCGACTGCATGTGCCCGCCCTGCCAGCGCAACCCACCCCCCTTGCGTCGGGCACAGGCAGTCAAACTTGATGCCACAAACCTGTCACTGCCAGCCCATTACCGCAAACCTGTTAATCCCCAACAAGTATGCCAATTGTAGCATCAGCTAGACCCTGCCGGTTGCCCTTTTCATAGGTGCTTGACTGTTTTTGTGTTGCGTTACAATACCGGCAGCAACAATGACGACAGCGACAGTGTAACGACAGCGACGATGATCACAACAAGCAGCCAGTACATTGGCAAGCATGATGAACTCGGTGGTTTTTAATCACGCTCAAACACGAATGGCAAGAGCTACACGAGCAAGCAAGCTAACAAATAAACGAAACCTAAATGAAATGATACCTGCAAGCCAGGCAGATCGTATGTTTCATTTGTTTGCTCAATAGCATTTGTCATGTTTGAATAGCGTTTGTCATTCGTGTTTGCAGGTGGGCGTGGGCCAGGTCATCAAGGGCTGGGACATGGGCATCCTGGGCACTGACGGCATCCCCCCCATGAAGCCTGGCGGCCAGAGGAAACTGAGGATCCCATCGGAGCTGGCCTACGGCTCCAGGAGCGTGGGCGGCGGCCTCATCCCCGCAAACTCTGTGCTCGTCTTCGATGTGGAGTACCTAGGCTTGGCCTGAAGCGCGGCTTTCTGTATGCTGTTGTTCTTCTGGGGGGAGCGGGGCAATGTGTGTGGGAAGCCATGCGTCAGGGAAGTGAAGGGGGAGGAGCACGGCTGTTCAGAGTGTGCACAGAGAATGGCCGGAGACTGAGTAGAAGCTGGTCGGGAATTGGGCAGAAGCCGACCAGGAATTACAGGAGTCTTTGAGCGAACAACATCTGGATGCGGATGCAAGAAGGGTCGTTTTGAAGCTGATGAGGCATGCGCAGAAATGGCGGCGTTCGTGCTCCACGGTGCGCACAATGTTCTGCCGAACAGGCCTTGCATGAAACAGGGGAATATTTATTGGGGTCCCCTGGCAGCCTGACCACCCGTCGGCCCACCCTCCCTGCGACCACACCTCGTTGTCCTGCGCCTCTCGCCGCCCTGTAGTATACACAGAACCAGGCCTCCTTCACGAGGGTCGTTGGGCCCAAAACTTGTTGACGTCTAAGCCCCCCCTTCCCCCCCCCCAATAAAAAGGTGCAAGGTATCCGGTCTGTCTTCGTGCGAAGGGAACGGATTCACTCCATAGTATGGCACGGGTGAGTCACCGCTCACGTGGCAACAGACCATGAGCGAACCTGGCTTTGGCTTTGAGGCTTCTCTTCAACCAGCACCATCAATGCGCACCTCGGGCAGGCGAGCCCAGGAGCACACCTGAAGCAGTGCACTAAAGTCCGCCATGGTTGGCTAGTTCTCGATTACTTGGCGAGCCTTGCAGCTACAAGTCGACTTCTTTCCAAACCAATGCAAATGCGCCGTTCAACCAGGAAAGCATTGGGTGGTCCAGCGCCGGTTCTCAATTTGCTCGCTGTAGGCGGCCTTTCAGCACGCTTCCTTGCTTGTCAGCAACGCTCACTGAGCAGCTGGCGGCTGCCGCCCACGTCGAACCTTGACCTGTCCGTTTTTGTTGCGCCACCGAGTCGCGAAAAGACCATCACGCGCACCACCTTGTGCTTCCCACATCGAGTGTTGGACGCCACGAGCGCCAGCGAAATCGACCAACCGCTGCCTAGCACACGTCGGTTGGTTGGTTGCGTTTGCTTGGTTGGTCGGTTGAAGCGCACACCAAGCTCAAGGGCCCTATTGGAATGCAGCCTGCAATGCCCTGTGTTGGTGCCAAGACCTGGCACACGAAGACGCGAGCGCCAACCTCGCTCGAATGGATGCGTCGATGCGCACAAACAACAGCACATCACACAGCTGGAAAGCAGCAAGGAAGAAAATAAATTATGTATCTATAAAAAAGAGCAGATGAACAATTGCCCGTCATCAAATACCCGCAACAGGCTCCTCACCCCACCTTCCAGCTCCCGGGGCAGCGAAGAGAGCGCGGTCAACACCGCCGGCATGGGAAAAAGAAACAGCTTCTCTGCCCCCCCACCCCACCACCCCCCAACAAAAAAAGCAGCAGCATTCCAACCCCTCAAACACCCGCTTCCGCCAAAAAGAGGCACACGCCTTCCTTGCTCCTGGCTCAGCGTTTCATCGGCATGACGGGAACCTTGCTCACCAGCAGACACCCATTCAGGCAAACACGCCACCACGCTGGCGCCTCAACAACACGCGCGGCAGCACGTTTGCCAAGTGCTGCGCTAGTAGTACAAAGCCCAAGGAGTGCCCTCCACAACCCCAAGCTTGCAAATTCTGTCTTGATTCGATACGACAGGCTCGCGCCCGGCCGCACACTCGAGTGGACGGTCGTATGGCCCAAACGCCAATTTCAACAGACAACCATCAACGCAGTTTCGTCTTCTCGCTGATCTACATGCAACCGAATACCCGCTGCGGGCCCCGTGGGCCCACCTCCCCCAACCCCACCCAGCGAGCTACAGAAAACAGAAAACGAAACATAGGCGCAAAAGGAGGCCGAGAAAATGTTTAACTAGTCCGCCTTCAAACCCGCCACAGGGGGCCCCACGTCATCGCCTCCCTTCCCCCCTCTCCCACCCCCCAGCCCGCCTAAAATAAAACTAACCAAGTGGAGCCAAAGTGGGCTGGAGCTAAAGCAATGCCCGACAGGAGCCATAAATACACCAATGGAGGCTTCTGCGCCCCACGCTTACACTAATAGCATGCACCATCCACTCAACACATCCTCCACCCCCTTCGCACTTCAAGTGCTAAAATGGATGCAATAAAGTACTGCCGCGTACTAAGTCGTACCAATTCCGCCTGAAACAGCGCTTCCTGCAAGCCTTCCCACACCAATGCGCACGGCGTAAGACTGCGCCACCCGCCAGCATCCAAACCGCATCGACGGGAGACCGTATCACCGTATTTGTGACCCGTGGAAAAACGGAACGATTCCTTCTGGGCACGGCGGGTTGATGCCCTCAAGGTCCTATGGCGCTCACCAGCAGATGACCTGCACACAATTTCCAACGACAAGGCAAAAACGCCCATCCCGACATGTCTTCTGGAGGAGCGCTGGAAGAGAAGGGGGGGCCAGTGGAGCCTCGCCCTGCCTCCTTCTAAACGCCGGCCGCCCTGCAGCCCCAGAGCAGCACAACACCAAAGTACAGCCCGGAGAGCAGTGGCCCTTAAGTGCAGACGCCGCCGTGCAGCACAGAATAAAGTGCAAGGAGCCACCACACGATTCTGTCGCAGTTAAAACTTCACATCATCCCCTGTATGGTCCTCTCGGCGAGCAGGTAGCGCAGCGCCACGGGCGACGTCCTAAACTCCTCGCACATCTTCCAGTCTGCCTGCCGGCCCCACATGTCGATCCTTGACAGGCTTCCCTCCGCCGACGCCAGCCAGCTGGAGCGGCTGACGAAGCCCTTTTGGAGCGCCCGGCCAACACACTCAGCCTTCGCGCGGATGCCGCGGTACACCTGGGTCAGGAAGAGAACTCGTATTTCCATTCCCATCCTTTTCAACCTAGGTGCAAATGCAAACTTCCCAGGAACATTCGACCTCAGCTTCGAGGTTAAAATGCGCAAATGAATTAAGTTCAATGTGAAGAAGCAATCAGTCCATATTTTCTTTGTTCATCAAGTTACATCTGGAAGGGCAACAACACCATCATGACAACAAATGCATCTACGCATTAATGCTAATAACGCTGGGCCGAACTCACGAATGCAAGGTCGCTTAGCAGCGCCGGTGGCCTGGCCCCAGCCAAATAATAGCAGTTTCTTCATCAGATTCCAGCAGCATCCAATAGAATCAAAAAGACCCATCGCATGTCAATGCTAATGCCATCCACTTGGTTTTCACCAATTACACTTCATTTTCAACTGGATTGCAACCAAAACATGCTAAAATGGCACCCCTTGCCTGCAAAGTAGCTACAAGACTCAACACTTGGTGCATCTGAGGTGTGATCATCACTGCCACAGGTACTCAGTGCTACCGAAACATGCCCTGCGCTGCTGGATGCCTAGCAATTGCTCCATACACTCAGCACAATTGGATGTGCTCATTCCCATCAAAAGCACTCAGCGCCTTGGTGCCGCTTGCTGCCTTGGAAACACCCAGGGGCCCACCCATTGCAACGACAGCACCCCACACACCTGAGCCAGCACGCCCTCGTCGCACTGAACACGCCTCATGCCCAGCAGCAGGCTGCACTCCCCGCCACTCTTTCCACTCGCAGCACTGCCCATCGACTCGCCCCGCCGCCGACCCCTGCCTTGCGCTTCGGATCGAGTCTCAGACGATTGGCCAGAGTCACCTTCCCGAGGCCTCCGGAAGATGCTGGAAGATTCGGAGCCACCCGGGGAGGGCGGCAGGCCGTCGCCGCGGGTGCCATTCTCGTCGCGCACCACCTGTGCATGCGTGTCACATGCACTGTTTCACGAGCATTGTTAACTACTGGAAGAAATAAGTCGAGTGCAAAACAATAATGAAATGGCTTCTCTCGCTTAGATCGCTTGCAAAAAATGCAGAACGTGGCAAAAAATGACCATGAAGTGATAATCAACCAAGCAATAACATGCTCGGTAGTTGCGTAACTGTTTGAGTCAGTAACATACTAGATCAGCAGCATTCTTGCTGGAAATGGGCACCGTGCCATGGATGGCATCTGGTACCACTCTGTCGCACGGATAAAATCCTGATATGCACAAAGAACTCCAGCAAACACGTGCATTTACTATTCAACATTTATGAATATCTGGAAGCATACAACTATCCACAGATATTGCCTTAGACATATGTATGGGCAGCACCACGGTATATTCACTGGCTAAAGCAGCCAAGTGGAATCCACCAGGAATGTCTCAGCATCTACTCACTGTCATCAAGGTATTTATTTGCAGTCACCTGCAGGCGCTGTACGGTCTTGTCTGTCTGGTTCATGGTCTCGATGATCGTGAAGCGCTGGTCCAGAACCAGTTGGTCACGCAGGTCATGGTGGAGGCACAGCAGGAGGTCACACACCTGCCGCAGCATTGGCCACAATAAGCTAAGCCCCACAGTCACACTATAGTGAACGCCACAGTTAAAACCAGCAGCCCCAAATATACACCATAGGTGCAGCACCAATGGACCACAAAATTCATGTTCATGCATTGACAACATTTACAACAATAGGGCATTGGTGTTGTCATGTTTCCAGGACATATGTTGTCAATAGTAACTGAAGTGTCAGTGTTGTGCCTTGCTTGTGCCTCTTTGTGCAATCTTTGGGTTGAGGACAAAGACACAACAGTGAGGAATCCGTTTTCAATTTTCTGACAGCATCCATCAAAAGCCTGCAACAAATCCGACCCCCTGCACGATGCAGGGCGCACAAGACACCAACCAAGGTTTCTTTATTCCCCACAAACCTAAAGCCTCAACATAAAGGACCACCTAACCCAGGTCGTGGGACGCAGAGTCTGGAAAACCCTAAACCCAGCATCTACAACTTCATTCCCTGTTCTGTGTACACCCTTTGTGCAATGCAGAATAGGTGCATGGAATGCCACTGCCCACCCACCTCCTCTTCCACCAGCTGTTGGTCCAGCATCTCCTCCACCACTGCCCCCACCAGCGGGCCCACAAGGGAGCCATCTAGTGCCCCGACCTCCAGCAGCGCTCCCCCTGTTATGTGTGCGATCGTCCGGAGGCAAGCCTCCGAAGGTGAGTGGAAGATGGCGTCGCGGAAGCCCAGGGCGATGACCCGTGCCCCAGTGGCAGCCAGGTGCTCAGCGGCCTCCTCCCACTTGATACTGCCAGGCACGCCTGGGGAGGTTAAGAAGGAAAGTGTGAGAAGGATGGCACAAGAATGGAGGTGTACAAAAGGCCAAAGCATGTGTGCAAATGCACTGGTGAGGAACCCATGTCCAATCGCATTGGCAAGCACTTCCTTCAACAACACAATGAACAAAGGACAATTGTGAAGAATGGCATTTGCCCCCTGCAGGCAACTGCTGGGACAGTTCCGTCCACAGTATTCATTTAGGTCACACCACTAAGGAGAACCTAGATCAGGAAGTGTGAGCTGCGCATGTGGCAAAAGCAAGTGCAATGCCTGAATGTGGTGTTGGAAGACTGGCGTCGCTTGTGTCAGAATGGACAGGAAACGTTGAGTGTGGCAATAACAACGACGGCGGCTCATGCTTCGCGTGCTTGAAGCTTGCAAGCAGACCAAAACAGGGTACAAACATTAAGCACATTCTTGATTGGAGTGCATGCACAGGACAGAGACATGATGTTTCGTTACATCGCGAATCCCTGCAATCTGATTCACAGCAACACCTGCAGGCCATGTCTGAAATTTGCATTCAGGCCCAAACTGGCAATGACATCAGGACAAACTTTACTGGCTGAAGTGCGTGCACAGGATGCAGACATGACACTTTCTCTGTTCCGCCATTCCCTTCAATCTTGACTAATAACAGCAATGCCCACACTACATCTCTGCCCACAGTCCACCAACTGGATGTGTGCGGTTAAACCCAGCAATGGAGAACCCGCCAAACATTCCAGTTGCTTGCATATTATCATGCCATGATTCTCAGCTTGTTTTCCTGCAAGTATCATATCAAGGACTGGTACAGGTATGCCATACATCGCTGTTGGCACATCGGGCATCCCAATTGGACAAAATATCTCTTCAATCTGAGCTCACCCAGTGGAAAGTTGTCATGGTGCTTGGCAACCCCGTCACATGCATTCAGTGCCGACACCAACTGTGTGTCCCATTCGGTCCACAGGCCTGTCGCCCTGCCGTCCCTCATGCTCTTCTCGACCGCTGTTGCCGCCTGTTCCAAAATGGTCACAAAAGTTATGACAACCAAAACAGAATACCACAGTGACGATCAATGCAATCCATTCAGCAGCCATGCCGAGGGACACAGCCAACCTGGGAATGTCCCCCACCCCGCTGAAGCCTTTCCCAGCAGTGCAACAAAAGCAAATAGCCAAAACAAATAAATGAACACACAAATGGGCAACAAATGCATAATCAACAAATGCAGGTTCATTTGTGCACCCCTTCCATAAAGTGGGCGATACTCAGCATCACTAAGTAGCAAGTCTTGCATCCAGTCTGCCTGCATGGGTACTTGGGGGCAAAATTTATAGACTTTCTGGTCAACCACAAAAAAACACAAACAGACTAAATGAACAACACAAAATAAAGGCACAAACACAAACAGAATAAACAGCAGATCCACCATCCATACACTTGATGGGCTTCAACAGCCCCACCTGCAGCAGCCTCTCTCTTGCCCTTCCCAGATCGCCCTCCAGCTCTGCGGCCTGCTGCGGGCCCATGCCTTGATAGCCATGTGGTGGTGCGTCACCAACCCAGATGACCACGCGGCTTGAGAAGGGCCACCAAGTGACGCCATCAGCCGCCTCATGCAGGGCAGCCTCAAGGGCCTCTGGGTAGTCACCCCCGCCGCTGGCCTCTAGCCTTGATATGAACTGGCAGACCTGGGGCAGGATCAGGGGCTGGCATTTTCAGTCTCTTGCTCAGAGCATCCCCATTAGGCAGGTGCCAAGCTGTTAGAGTGAATGCGCTGTTTGAGGTTTTCCCAACAATCAACCTTCTCAAACGTTCATTGACATCAACAGTTCATTGGCAGGTGCTGCAGTGCCCTGTGACGTGAAATCGTTGCTGTTTGCCAAAACAGAATTGTGTCTGTGAGTGCAGGTTTGTCACACTTTGAGAATTGTGACCAAGGAGGATGCCCGCAAGTCACCAGCACACTTACCAACATGGGCAACAATAACCACAAATAGCACCAAATCTGCAGATCTTTCTCACACTAAACATACTTCGGCATTTCCAACAAACATGTGTCCAAGGCAATTCCTTCAGCACTGAACGCCTTTCCCCCACCTTCTCCAAGTCCTCCGTGAAGTCCAGCTTGGTCAGCACCTGCGGCTGGTCGTCCTCAGGCCAATGGTCCCGGTACGCCAGCACGCCCCACCGCACCCGCTTGCACAGCACCGCCCCTGCCAGTGCGTTGGCCACCTCCAGCGCCACCCGCGGCAGCTCTGCCAGCTCAGCGGCCATGCTCGCCGTGGCGTCCACAACGAACAGGATGTCGGCAGTGCCGACATGAGGGTGGGCCGCTGCGTAGGCCAGGCGCTCGGCATCGTAGGAGGCGGAGTGGCAAGGGGGGAAGGCAGGGTCTGGACAGAGGCCGGTGGGGTGGAGGGGGATGGCGGGCAGGGAGGCGTGGGGGTAGAAGGGGCCCTCGTGGGAGATGCCGCTGCCCAGCTGGGCCGCGGGGACCGTCTTGGGGGAGCAGCACAGAGGTGAGCGGGTCAGCGCAACTGACAGTCTGAACTGGGCATGTCCTGCCGCCAGTTAGTAGGCTTGAGATAGACTGTGGAACTCAAGCCTGGAGCCAATTTTCTGGGTCTTGATTTCAGAGTCTGCTGGACTCCCGTTCGAATTGCTTCAAAAGATGTTAATCTGGTTGAAAATGTTACCGCCTGGTTGGGACAAAGGGGAACCTTGAAGATTTGGCACAAAACAAGCAGCTGAGTGCAAAGAAAATAAACATTCCAATGCCTTCCAAGCGTCAGTCTCAACGCTTGGTCTTTAGGACTTGTGGCTGAGAATTTTACCAGTTGATACAAACGCATCTTAAACTCAGTCGAATTTCAAATATAAGCTGATCTCACGGGAGCTGGCACTACATGGTCAGGCCACAGGGATTATCTTCAAGCAATGAGCAGAAAGCAGTGGGTTGGCATAATCACATTCAAGATTGAGGCAACCAAAAGTTCCATCTTAAACATAATATATCACAAACGTCAAAAGCAAACAATGTATGCACAGCAATCCTTGCCTCCAACCCAATCGCAAAAAAACAGGGTATGTTGTACTCCACTTGTTCTTGTAGGGTACAGACTTAAATATTTGATATTGATGCACTCCACAGTGAATGAGCTTGCCCACATTGCTGCTCCTTACCTTGATCACTGCGGGGCTGCCACGCACATGCCGCCCCCCGATCTTCACACTGACCTCATACTGCCCCTGGCCCACCAGATGGCCTGACACCAAATACCTGCCATCCCCCAAGTCGTTCACCGGCAGGCTCACCGATCCTCCCATCCCAAACAGCCCCTCCCTTCCCCTTGCAACTGCCCCTATGACCTGCTGTTCCCCTTGCTGCCCCCCCAGCAGCTGCTCCAGCACCGCGTTGCGTGCAGAATCTCCGGAAGATTCTGGCTGTGCCGTCCTGGGTTCAGGCTCTGGCAGTCTTAGTCTGGGGGTGGGCTCCTCAGCTGAGTTGTCCCCCATGCTGAAGATCCCCTCGGAGTCGCCGCTCTCCCCATGGGGCCCGCCCACCCGCGCCAGGCCCGCGCTCAGGCTGATCATCTCCTCAACCCCATGGTGGGCTTCCTCAACCCTTGCAGGAACAGCCGACTGGCGCTCGTGCCTCAACCGGCCTGATCCCAAGCCCCTGCCGCTGCCGCCGGTCCCCGTGCTCCTGTCCCCAAAATGGCTCTCTGCGTCCACAAAGTCCTCCTCCTCCAACCCCCCCTCCTGGTCCATGTCATCGATCCCAGGGCCCATGCCATCAATGTCCAGCTCACCCTCTGCCGTGGGGTTGTCCTCGTATGGCAGCTCCCGGATCACCCGGCTGGGCGCCCCGTCCTTGGATCCCCACGACTTGCCTGCGCAGATCCTGGCCGCGTCCGGCCTCATGCAGTCTGCCGCCGGCCACAGCCGCCGCATGCCCACGATCAGCTTGGACAGCCGCTTGAACGACTTCTTCCGCTTCTCCCCCCCCTCCTCCTCAAACCCTTCCAAACCCCCACCCACGCCCATCATCTCCAGCTCGCCACCGCTCAACCCGTCCCCCTTCCTTGCCCGGCCACTGCGAGAGCCCCGTTCAACGACTTCCACCTTGGCTGAGGGGCCCCCACCAACATCGCCCGCCTCTGATGCCCCACGGTGCCCTGGTGACCTCCCCCGCACCGCCCCAGCCCCGCGCGACAAACTGAGACTCCGCATTGGGCCACCAGGACTCTGTGAAGAGCTCACGGGGGACATGTGCACATCATGGCCCTCTGCAGAGCCAGCCATGAACATCCTGTCGTCCTCGTCGACGTCTTCTTCCTCGAGGGTGGGGAGGTCCTCAGAGCGCGAGGTCCACTGGGGGTCCTCCTCCTCTGGCGCGGGGTGCAGTTCGGCCACAGCGTGCTCTGGCCGGTTGGGGTCGGGGTAGCTCAGGCCCCACACCCAAAGTGCTGCCCTGGGCCAGGGCAGGGGCACAAGATGCCATCGAATCAGCTCTCGACCTTAAAGCAAGGCTAAAGCACTGCATGAACTAGTGCCAGGTTTCAGGAAAGTCCCTGAGGCATCAAAGACCGAGCAGGGTTCGCCTCCCACCAGGGAAGCAATGCACCAGTGCCAAAACGGCGACATGCTTACCATTCTGTAAAACTACAGGCGACTTATCTACTTCCAGAGTGGGAAGTTTGGCAGTTTTATCATGTGTTTGAGCCACACACAATGCCAAGGAGTCAACACTTTCGCCAGAAGACCGCAGCACCAACTCGGTGCCCCCTGGACATAGAAGGCCAACTTGGCTGTCGAGTCAGTCGCTCATTTAAACTGAGTTCAACTGAGTGCAATTGAATACTGCTGAACTAATTCAAGTCCATTGAATTCAGTGACTTGACAAAATACAAATGCACCACACCTGGACATGGAAGGCTGCGTGGCAGTTGACGGTTCGCTGATAGTGGCTTCGCCCCGGTCTGCCAAGAATGGTGTGTCCACCATCGGCACGTCCTGCGCCAGCAGTGACCCCTGCCGCAGCTGGGCCTCAAGCTTGCCGCTGTCGCTCCTCAGGAACGCGCTCAGGTCCGCCGTCTCCAGCTCCTCTGCGCTCCCCTGGCTCGACGAGCTGCTGAACAGCGGGGTGCACTCGTTGAGCCCCGCTGGCGCAGACAGGATCAGCCGTTTGCTCTCCCTGCTCATCCGATCAGCTTCCGGATCACCCCCCCTGCCATCATGCTGCGCGTCTGCGCCCATGGGCCACCCAGCGTGGGTGAGGGACAGGGATGAGCCGCCGCTGCTGGTGCCCTCGGGCCTTGCGTTGGCGGAATCGTAGCCCTGGTTGGGGTGGGCACGGGCAGAGTCAAAGGCAGAGCCGCGTGGGGAGGGCAAGGAGGTCGACCTGGCATAGCCGGGGGCGGCCGAGCCACGGCCATCGCTGGGGCGGTGGTGCCGGCTGTCAGCGCCGTCGGTGGCGCGGCCTTTGGAAGTGCGGCCATCGGCGCTGGCCTGGATTGCAGAGGGGACAGGATTGAGGAAGCCACCGAAAGTCCTCTAAATATGTTTGTCAGGAAAAGATGAAACACAGTCCTTGCATCTCATGAGGGCAATGGTCAGTGAGCTCCTGTGCCATTCAATTCGACAATCCAGCTGTGGTGACAACAGGGCATGGTCTCTGATGGATGATGCAACATTCGGATAACAAAGGGTGTGTGGCCTCCAACACATGGTGTCAAATTTTGGAATGAAGAAGGGTGCAGGGCACAATCTCGGGATCTCTTGGACAAAATGGTGGAGAGCACTTAGTAGTATCAGCACATTGCTGTCTTAACTGACCTGAAAGGTGTTTTAAGATTATGCCATGGACCAGGCGACCATTGCAACCCCACTCAATCAGGCTGCAGTGCTATTGTTCGCAAGAAGTGTTTGCAAGAAAGTGCGATCGTTGACAGTTGATTCTATGTCACTTCAATTATTTACTGAGTTGTAATGGGCACCAATACTCCAGAAACCAGTATCTTCAACCCAGCTCTGTGCTGTTGATCAGCACGATCTTCTTTGGCAAAAAGTCAACAGCCAGGGTGGCTGGAAGGCCCAATGACATCAACACGGGCCCCTCTTCCTTGCAACTTTTAGGTACATTCAAGCAAAATGTGCCAAACCTCACATTGATTCCTATCCACATAGCCAACCTTATCCAACCAAGGCCAGCTGTTGAACTGGCCCAAGAACAATTCACGAGAGACTGGTTTCTTTAAGGATATTATTTAGGGTACAGTCAGATACACCTCCCCTTTTCCGCCCTTCCCCTCCCCCCCCACCCCACCCCCACCCCACCCACTCTACCACCCAAAACAAGAAAGCAAAGTTTTGGTTTGATTAGGCACAGCTTCAAGAATCCCTGAATATAGTATGTCTCATGCTGCACCACACTGCACGGCACCAATACTTGCATGTTCAGTATTGCTGGCTGTAGCATTCGCTCCTTCACCTGTTGTGTTCATTGACTGACTGACTACCTTAACACCCTTGCAGATGTGCTCATGACTAGATCAGCAGCTCAGCATCCCAATCACAAGCCAGTTGCCCCACCTTGAGCTTGGGCATCTCTGTGTCATCTTCTCTCGTGCCGCTGAGACACGTTGCCTCCGCCGATATGTTCGCCCTCACCCCAATGCACGGCTGCCCCGGCCCCACAAAGGTGTGGACACTGAATGCAAATGGCAGGTCACATGCTGCAGACTGCAGCGCCCGCCCGGCCACCCAGCAGTGGGATGGGTCCACCACGTGTCCTTCCTGCCACCACCGCAAGAGTTGAATGGTCGACAGTGTTCACAACAAGCGGGATGGTACTGACACACTTGTTTCTGGCATGGTCAATACTAAGCTTACAATACAGTCAGATGGTGTCCTGATTCTAACTGTACTAGAGGAGATCAACATGAGCACGCGATTTACTGGCGAATGCCACTCAGCACATGTGCTTCTTGCAGCAAATGACACGATCATTCCTTTATGAGGAAGAGTGGTGGCAAAAGTTGTGGTCAAGATGTGTGGCCCTATGGTATGAATTGTTCCCCTTTTCGTTCTAAGGAGGCTGCTGGGCAAAAGACCTGGCATCAAGATGCGGCATGTGTGCCTGCCAAGGCATCGCAAGCTTGGAAAAACTTTGGTAGGACAAAGTGTCTCACAAGCACATCAACGATGTTCTGATGAACCTCCCAATTGTTCACAGCCTGAGTACCTCCCTCCGCTCTGGCCATTAGCTCTATGTCGGGAATGTGTGGCAAGCTTGAAACGCAAAAGCACCCTTCTTGATGCTAATGACGATCGTGTCACTAAACTTATGAACCGTCACTGGCCTCTGAACAGCTGTCTTCCACAGTGGCATAAGATCCAACTACTTGCGGTCTTCGGCTCACTGGAGAGATCAAGTGTTTCACTTCAAACCAGTTCATGAGCTCCGGCGTGCAGGGTGAACTGATCATGCTCCGTTGCCCATGGGGACGTTTGGTGTTTTACTGTCAATCAGGACACAAGACTGAGACTGAAAACACCAACAGCCCCCTGGCAGATGATCTGACCTGAAGGCAACCCTTGGTTTGACTTGGCACAGCAAGCATTCCAATTTTGGGACCTTCTAGAATTTGTTGAAAGAGCACAAACACACACTGGGCAACCCCATCTTCAAACAGTGTGGCTGCAAAGCCCTTTTCCACGATGCAAAACTTGAATGAAACCACTCCAAGCACGATATGAGAGTGCAAGGCACTTGTGTGCATTTTGAGAGCACAAACTGCAAAGACCAAAGTGCATGTTCTGCAGTTGACAGACTGAGTTGGATCCTGGGTGGTCTGGGTGTTGTGCAAGCATGGGTTCATGCACAGCCCTTGCACCTCTTGCCAAATGTGCCCACTGAGTGCGTGTTTCATCATGATCTGTGTTGGCACAATTTTTGTATTTTTCGCTCTGCCAACAGAGCTCATGGAGCTGAAACGAATCCCACAATGCTTTGTGTTCAGGAGACTGTATTGCAACACAGTGCTCTCTTCCAACAAGACAATGATGGATCTTCACCACGTGTTGCAAAGATCTTAGTCAGATCATTGTCCATGATGATGACTCAATCAAGGCTATAGTGTCAAGCTTTTCATGTCTGAGACTGTGCGTTGACTTTCTGAAAGTTCATGCACCATGCATGGATCATACGATCAGTCGAGGTGGCACACGGCCCACGACCCTTTTGCAAGACCGTGCACCACCTAGGCTTTCAAGAAGTGCCGTGGTAAGGCCCGAATGTAAGGAAGCGCAGGCCCCACCTGGTGCTCCACCACCACGCCAACCAAGTCCCAAAGCTCCCTGGCCGTGGCATGGCACCCATCCGCCCACAGCGCCGCCACGGCATCCCTGATTGCAGCCGCAGCCTGCGAGAGCCTGGGGCCCCGGCCCCCTGCCAGGCCTGCCGCACGCGCCTTGCCTGCTGAGGCGGCGTCGTGCCAGGTGAAGAAGGGCGTCAAAAAGGTCAGGATCCGCGCAGGAGGGTCGATTGGCGAGGGGCGCTGGTATGAGCTCTGAGAGATCCATGGCAGCCTGGGTGGAGAGGGGCAGGGGGAGAAAGCAGAATCAAAGACTGCATCAGAAAGGGAAAGGGGGCAAGCCAGGAGCAGCTAAACGGACACAACACATCATGTCTTCATCAGGCACACTCCCAGCAGCGTCAACTGCTGCTGTTCATGCACAGTGGTCGTCAGATGCGCGTCGGCAGAGTCACCATCATTACCAAAAGCCAGCAGGGAGTTGCAAAGCCGTGGGGGCGTCACGCCTTCAGCCTTCAAACACAACCTCCGATCGCGAACGAGATCCTCGTCTGTTCACGTTAACCGGCTGCCTGGCCGCTCTCTGGACCCTGATTGACATCTGCACGCGACTATGGGCTGCAGAAGGCGCCGCGGCATCCAGCGCCCGCCGGCCTGTCCTGCGCGCCAAGCAAGCAAACGAGGAAAGAAAGAAAAAAGCACGACAGGGCAAAAGAAGGGCCGGAACAAGGGCTCGATCCCGCACCTGTGCAGCCCGTGCGTCGGCGCCTCGACCTGCTGGGCGCCGATCTGGGCGCCACCCGCCCACGCCGCCCCCGCACCGGGCGGCGGCAGCGCCTGCGGGTACGCCACCGCCATCGGCATCCCTCCCAGGGGCGCCAGCACGCCCACCCCCCCGGGCCCCACCGCCCCCACGTACGGTCCCTGAGGCCCAAACCTCGGATCCGGCCGGCCCGCCCAGTCCCCCGCCACGCTGCCGTCCCGGCTGCCCCTGAAGTCCACGCTGCCGCGGAAATCTTGGCTGCCCCTGAAATCCACGCTGCCCCTAAAATCCTGGCTGCCCGCGTAGCCCTGGCTGCCCCGGCTGAAGTCCCTGTGGTGGGGAGGCCCCAGCGGTAGCTGCCCTGCCATGAGCGCCCCATAGGCGGACGGGTCCACCATGCCGCCCAGCACGCCCTGCGCCTGGCCCACGGGCGGCCAGCTGCCGTACCTGGGCACATCGGGGAAGCCCACCCCGCCGTAGCCCACGGGGTAGCCCCCCGCACCGTATGCACCGCCGTACACCGGCGGACCGTACCCCCCCGCTCCTGGCGGTGCGGCCGCCCCCGCCTGCTGCAGCGCCTGCTGCTCGGGCCAGTGGACCCCCTCCCCTTGCGCCGGCGGCCTCCACTGCGACTGGACGGCATCCTGCCCGCCTTGGGCGGCTTCCTGCCCTTGCGGTGGGACGACAGAGCCGCCCCTGGGCGGCTGCTCCTGGTACGCCATGTTGTTCCAAGTCCTGAAGATCTCGGCGCTGGATGCTCGCTGCGAGGCGCGGGAGTCCGCCCTCAGGCCGGGTTGCCAGCCGGACTGCCCCTGCCCGCCTCCGGGCTGCCCGCGATCGTACATTCCGGGGGACGCAGACCTGGACGTGGGCTTGTCCCAGGGGTTGGGCGGGCGTTGCCAGGCCTGTTGGGGAGGCTGCTGGCCGGGCGGGTGGGTGGCGGACACGGCCTGGGTCAGCACGGTGAGCTCCTCGCGCAGCTGGCTCAGCTTTGCGCGCGTCTCGTCCAGGGTGCCGTCTGCCTGGGCGATCGATCACAGCGGGCGTCAGGCATCGGAGGGAATCAGGAGACTGGGGGGGGGAGCGGACGGGAGGGGTTCAGAAGATGACCCAGGCGCCGGTTCATCGAGCTTTGAAAGCGAGGTTTGACAGATCGCGCGGAGGGGGGGAGGGAGAATCAATCGGGTGCGCGCCGACCTTGCGGGCGCTCCCCGTCCCGCCAGACGCCGGACCCCCCCGCGCCGGGGCGACGCGCAAGCCAAGTGGGCACGAAGAGGCGCCCTGCGCTGGGAGGCGACGGGGCTGCCGTACACCAGCCCACGCCACGATTCAGCGGCGACTCGCGCACGGGCGCCCGCGAAAAGTGGCCCGATTCGTCAACATCCGTCATCGGGTATTGCCCCCCCCTCCCCCGGCCACCCCCCCCGTCTCGCGCTGCACACCGCCCGCAACCGTCCGAGGTCGGCGGCCGGCGCGGCCGTGGGCCCCACCTGCGGCGCCGGGCCCCCGGGCGCCCCTCCCGGTCTCCCGGGCTCGCCGCCCGCCGCGGGATGCATGCCCCCTCAGACCCCGGCGGGCCGATACTCGGCCTCCCAAGCCCTCCGATGACTCAACCCTCCGCCCGCCTCGGTCCCGGCCGCCGCCCGGCCCCGCCGCCGGCCCTGCGCGTCGAAGGCGAGCGCGTCAGCGCAGCTGAGGCGCAAAGCACCTCACCGGGACCCAAATGTCAAACCCCGCATGGCCCACCCCCGCTCCCCCACAGCCACCCCACATTGACAAACTTCCCACCCTCCCCACCCTCACTGCCACCAAACCGACGAATCCCACCTCCGGCAACTCCCACCGGCGGCCCTCCGCCTCCTCTGCCGCTAAGTACAGGGCGCCGCCCCTCCCACAGCCCTCCGTCCCGCTCCCAAAACCGCCGATTCCTCCCCACCGCCCCTCACTCTTTCCCAAGAAACTGGTCACACTCCCTTGCCGGGCTACGGCTCCCCTCTCCCGGCCCTCCGCCGCTCCCGGCGCGCTCTCCTCCGTTTTCCACCGAGTGATCGCGGCGCCGCGCCCAAATCAGGTTTCGCTGCGCGTGTTTTTAGAGCCAGCAAATCAGTTGCGCTCCAGTCGGGCCTGGGGCCCCGGGACCGAGGTTGGGGCGCCCTGATCCGGCCGGTCCGGCCAATCGGGTCCCGGGCGTGGGCCCGGGGGACCCGGGCCGGACTGGAATGGGCGCGGATTGACGTCACCCGTCAGCGACCCCGCGTGGAGATCACTGGGGCCGGGGCGGCTTTTTTGGTTGTCGGGGGTGGGGGCCAGGGGCCAGAACATTGGGGACGAGACGTTTTTTGGCCGGGGGGTGGCGGGCGTTGCGTTGGGAGGGTTTGGAGCCCGGTTGGATTGAAAGTTTCTGGGCACTTGGCCTCACGTTGGGGAGGGAGGGGGATTTGTTAGAGAGGAAGAAACGGGTCGTTGGGAGGGGAGAGGAGGGATGTTGCGGAAACGGGTGTGAAAAAGGATCGGTTGATGGCAACCCGAGGCGGGCTGGCCGGATCTCAGATCTCAGGTCTTTGGAGCTCCGCATTGGCCCTGGGTGGGGTCGTTGGGGATGAACTTGATGGTACTTTGTTGCACTTGTGGCAAGATGTCAGGCGTCGAGTCAGCAACCCCGTAATTGTGTGTATCACTGCATGTTTTCTGTGGGAAATGGAGCGAAACAGCTTTGCCACCCGGGGCCTTTGAATGCGAGGTTTTGGTTGAAAGGAGACAAGAACATTTCTCCATGATTGTTTTTGAAACGAGAAAGGGACTTTGGCAATGCCTTTGTTGCACAATAAGTTGTTGCTGACCACCTGGGGGCCTTTTCTGATTCATTGTTGTTGGTGCGGCTGTTGATTAGGAATTTCCTGGCCGTCTTGTGCTCGACTTGGGATGACAGAGTTCAAGTCAACATCCTCATCAGTGCGTCCTGCCGCCAGGAGTTTTGGGAAAATTGTTGTGTTCCTTCCTGCATTTGTAGACTACTGTGTGCATTCCTTGATATGCACTGAGGTTTTCACAAATGTTAGTGCTTGAATTATGTAAACTGCGCTGTGCATTGCGTTTGCTGTTCCCAAACACTAATGCAACTGCCTCCAGCAAGTTTTGCGTTTCGAAACCTAAACTCCCACAACCAACGCGCTCACGTTTTCAGAGTCAAAATGCACGCCGTGGATGCAGAGGTTTGGCAAAAAATTGCAAACCGCAATCTGCCACAAATTGGGGAGGCGATGGGAATCGGTAGGGAAAATCGCGAAGCAAAATCGTAACCCTGAAAGCTTTTAATGTAACCGCAGGAAAATTGCCAACCCATCGGCCCCAGAACAGTTCGTTTTGTGTCCCATGCACAAACCATGCGCGTTGTTGAGGAGGAACCCACACCAGACACCTGCCAACATATTTCAGATGTTTGAAAAGTGTGCACAACCGCAAACCGCTTTTGTGCGGCTTTGCATGGCCGCTTACAAGCGCATCAGAAAGGCACGCGCATCTAATCATTGCATGCAGCATGAAAACGGCGTATGGCGGCCGGAGGGTAGTGGTTTTGTGGTCAGGGAACTTGTTATCGTAAGGTCGGGTGCTCTGATGAAAATTCCAGCCCAATATATATTATATATACCCGATACCCGATTGTAGGGCAGCGCTGCCCTACAGTCACGGCTGCAGCAGAGCATAGGGTGTGACAAGGTGTGTGTGGTTTACCGACAAACCTTGAAATACACGTATATCGAATTCGCACACACGAACTAATGATTGCATTGTCTAAAACATTTGACCACTGGATGCGCAGTGACAAGCATACGAAATTTGGTACCTTTCGGCAAGTGCAAACGCAAATCTCAACAAACAATCCTACAACTTGCCGTCACAGTGGTGCAAGCAGTCATCTGCAGCTGCACTGAAAACGGTGCGTGGAAAGGTATTGAAGTTTGAAGTCACCCACTTCGGTTTTGAGGGATGCCCCAGCGCCTTTCTCAAGTAGATATTCACCACTGCCATGTCTCCAGTCACTACTGCAAAATGGAGAGCCATGCAACCTCGCTGAGCAAAATAAAACAGCGACCTTGTTGATAAGGCGGCAATTATGACAGAAGGGTGACAGGTTACCTGTCTTCACAACATATCGCTGCCAACTTTTATGCTCGAAATATTCATCTGTTAAAGAATTTTGAGAATGCACTCCACGGGTGTCCAAATTAATCCAATCGGCTGCCACCTCAAAGTTACAGGATCACAAAATCAGCGTGCTGGTGTTGCTTCGCGGAATGGAATTAACCAGTGTGGACCAATGTGTCTCACGCACATAAAACGTGACAAAGCTGCGTTTCCAAATAATATACGCGTTTGTGAGGACAAAATACAATCGAGATTGGACGACTTTTGCACGAGTGGCAGGCCCCATCCAATCAAGCGGCACGTTGGTGCAGTATTCCGCAACGTGCAGCTGTCGAAACGACCCTTCTCATAGTTCCATGTGAATAAGCCATACCCACGTGGGCATTTCAACATCATGCCGTTCCAACATCCAGGTGGCCACCGGGTGTGTGAATGTGCATTCTGCACACACCAGTGGCCTGGCACATCTGTAGCCCACCACGTCTGCCTGGCTGTTGCAGCAAAGGTCTCAATTTGTTATATACTATTGGCTGCTCATTGAGATATCAAGACAATAGGGAAAGCGGGGTGGGGAGAGGGCGCACCCCAACTACGGGGAGCTGATCGCGTAATCAACCAGGCAATTCTTTGTCGGTTCGTTTCAACATTAGTTCCTTTGTTGCCCCAATCAATTTCTTTCAGTTGTGTATAGAGTTCATGCGGATATGCAACTCGCAAAGATAATTACATTGTTCTTGACAGTCTCCTTGTGGAGCCAATTTGGCACTTCTTTTCCATTTAGTTCTTTTGATGCGAGCCTTGCAGCAATCAGCTATCAGTTGGTTCCCAGCTAGAACAGTTTCTTTCTTACTTTCGGTTGGTGAGTGCCTCACCTCCCCGCCCCGCCTGCCAGAATAGTTCACCAAGATGCTTGACTAGTCGGCTACTCTCTGCTTCCTAATTGCATCCC